TAATCGATGAAGCTGGCGTACTAAATGGCTTCACTAACGGTAAAACTAAGCCACCATTAACAGGAGAGCTGATTGGTTGGTGGAATTTAGATGTGGGCAGTATACTTGGAATTACACTTGTTGTGGACGATGTTTGTGCTTCACGTTTTAAACGCTTTGAATCCGGAAACTCAACATCATCATCAAAGTGTCTTTTCACAGGTCCTATAATATAATGCATGTGTACATTACACATTAACATGATTTTACACTAACTTCTGACACTTACCATTACTACTGCCAGCAGATGTAATACCGGAAAAGGATAAAAGGTCCTCCAGGCTATTCAATGAAGACACATCTTCATTGAAATGATTACTAAAATGAGGATTGAGTGTTTTGTGTAGTGCTTACAAGCATAATATATATTACCTGATGGTAGTATCGCGAGAGGGAAGAGGAGAAGAGGAAAAGAGAGCGCTTGTGTCTGGTGTTTGCAATGAGTGTTGTTGTTGAGAGGAAGAGAAAGATGAATGAAGGGAGAGATTATTTGGTGCAGCCATTCATTGCCCTATGGGAGACATAAACATAGCATTGTTGACATTGTGTGGTCTATATGTACGATGTGTACACCTGGCTACCACATAAAATTCATTTTGCCCTTATTTGGCAAATTGGCATTGATAAGGGCCACTATCACTATCTGTTTCTTTCAATTACTCTCACATTTTGCATCATTTTATCAACCAAAATACTCCTCTCTCTCTTTCGTGACAGTTTAACAATTGTTTAGCATAACAAGGCAAAAAGGTGCAATTAAAAAACATGACTGAATATAAGTTGGCAAGATCATGATATGAAAAAAAGAGTACCAATTTATTATAACTTGTGTTAAATGTGTTTTTGTCTGACCTCCTCTGCAATTATAACAATTACAATAATGCACCAGACACCATTTTTTACTCCTTGCCCGTGGTGTAAACGGGCAAGAAATACAGCCATACCGGCTGGACAAATAATGGGCGAGAAGACAAAAGGACATTAGTGGTGCATTGACACAACCTAGCAATACAGGGAAATGATATTAGAGGCTCTATTTTCCTCATAAAGGAGCTCTAAGGCACCACTAGGGTGCCGTAATATGCTCCTTATATACGCCTAGGCGATGCGCTCACAGTGAATGGCTCAGAAAGCTGTATTTCCCGGTCTATAAATAGCCACATGTACTGGTAGTCAGACAAAGGGCACAAACACTGACCGAGGGGCACTCACTTTCCACTAGGCGTTGATAATTTGCTGGCCAGGCTGTGGAGTCATGAAAAATTTCACCAAGCAACTTCCGGTACGTGTCCGTAGAGCAGCAAACTGAACCCCCAAACTGGTATTGCTCACGTGATTAGGCACCTAATCACGTGATTAACAATGTAGGTGACGTAATTATGATGCAACCGGCTAGGCAAATATTGCGCATGCGCAGAACGGTTAGTTTATATTAAAATTGATTAATCATAATAAATAAAACTATAACTTTGGGACAGTTGGTTGTCTTGGATATAATGTGATATATTCAGTTCTGTATAATTTAAAGAGCTTAGATATATTTATTGATAATATTTCTGACTTACGCACAACATTCATTTTTAGTTTCGTCATCAAAGACGGATGCAATTGCATTTTCTGCACAATGTGCTGCTTCTTCACTTCTTGCACTTTTAGTATCCATGACTCTTATTGTTACAGAATTGACCAAAAATTGAGTAGGGTCAATGAAGGCATAGTCACATCTGTGCCCTTTGCTGTAGGATGAAGCAGAAACACCAGTCAACTTAGCATCAAACTTTAAAACTTCAAGTTCCTACAAAATTTCTTAAAGTGTAGTGGAGATAAAACTTTTACCTTTTTAACTGCTCCATAAAGTTTCTGCCAAAATGCATCGTCTCTCTTTTGAGGTGAATAAATTTGTATTTTCAAGACCGACATTGCTTTGAGCCACACCTCTAAAATATTTCTTTCCAATTCCAGAGTGTGAGATGGGCTCAGGGTTCAGCTACTTCGGCGGATCCTCTTCATCAATCATAAACTCTTCATTGCACCAAGAAGATCCGATTATGTGGATAGTTGTCAGAGATGGAATTTCAGAGGAAATACGAGAAGATACGTTTTGGGAGGGCATGGTGAACAATATACATAATGTGAGTTTATTTTGTGTAATAATTATATATATCTCTGCTTTTTTGAAAATTAATTGTGACTTTGTTAGAGTTTATTGAGTCCTGCAGTTAATGTTCCAATGGCAGTTGTGCTTTCAGGGCACTCAATGACAGAAGAGATAGGAGCACATACATGTGCACAGCAAGCAGCTGTATCTTCTGAAACTTCAAGTGTAAATGCTGTTTCCATTGATATAAGACATCCTGATCAACGAAGAGCAGAAGAAGCAGCTCTTGCAGCATCAATTGTTATTAGAGATATGTTGGACCCTGGAAAGTAAGTATTTACAGCAAGTGTTAAAATTAATTCTGAATGCATACGTACTGCAGGACCTATATTAAAGTCAAATATGATGCTTTGGTATACTCCACTAGCAGGACTACAGAAGAATGTGCTATGTAAATCTTTATTAGCAATCTCACTAGTCTAGAACTTTGCTTTCATAGTGTGTTATGTCTTTTAATTTAAATATTATAGTAATATGGTTGAGTACACAATTCAATTATTTACTATAACTGCTTTTTAAGGTCATTAGGAAAGTGTAATGGCAAAAATGCACCCAATAACTGAACCAAGCTGTCAACAAAATAATATAAAACATGCTAATTATGTTTAGCTGTACTTATGCACCCACTCTTTCGAAACGCCTCTGCAATGTCACATATGCACGCAAAATTACATCAAAATGATACTCTTCCTATAAATAGTATAGATACTCTTCCTATATAATAGTATAGTTATTATACTTCTGATGAAGTTATTGTAACTAGCTGATAGTTCCGGTTTGTGTATGAATTGAATTTAGTTCTACAGATTTTGTAGCAGAAACAAAATGAATACACCAAATTAAAAATGAAGAGGCTGAATATCAGTAAACCAGGAAATAATAAAAGCCCTTTCTGTCGCTTCTGATCACTTATGAGCAACTTAACACTATTTTCTAACGAGCAAGTACCTTCAATGTCATTAGTAACAGACACTAGTATACATTTTTGCTCATAAGTGTAGTCAAATTGACTTCTGAGAGTAATGTGAGCAGAATCTGCAGTGCTAAGGTCCTTAGAAGAATGAGGCACATTATTTAAGCTGTCAAAACTGTATGATCCTTGATATATGAGCATATCCATTGCACAGCATGAGTCCCTTGGAGAGCAAGCAATATTGTAGAAATCTGTCCGTGTAATAGTGTAGTTAACATAGTCTTGATTTGACTCATTGCTTATGTCATAACACCAGTTTCCATCGCCAGGATCATTGCAATTAAATCCCTGGAAGCCACCATAGACAGCTGTAGAGTATGTACCGTAATCAGAAAATACCCAAAGAAAACACGAATCACTTGTAGACAATGATGATCTTAATGAGGATAATTTAAACTGAAATATGGAGCCTTTGACCATGTAAATATAAGTATAACGAGTGACATTGTACCATGTGTATGTTGGCTTAAACTCTGAGCAATCCAATGCTGTAGCTTTACCAGTACACCATGCATCATGCTCTGTATCAATCTTGAGATTAAATCCAGTAATGAAATCGCTAACACTGAAGAGTACAGTAGTGCCAGGTTGACCAAGTACAGAATAGTCTTTGAATGATGGATTTGTTAGTAGTATTGGGATTGTAGTGAGAGAGATAATGAATAATCCAATCAATATTACAAGGAACAGCACCCAACGACATGTACTTGAAAGTTTACAGCAACCTAAGCAAATACCGGGGGGGGGGGGTATATAGTTGCAATAATCATGATCAAGATGATGGAATCTAATATTTACCTTTTCTTGTAGATGTTCCTGTGGTACTACTGTGTGAATTGTCCCTTTCAATGTCATCATCATCATCACCTAAATAAGGAAATTCTTAGATTCTAATCTACAACTAAACTCACAGTGAAAGGATGTTGATGTAGTAGTAGTAGTAGATGCCAAAACTAACTGAAGCTGTTCCTGCTGTTTACTTGCATCTAACTCATTGCTATTCTTCCAGTGAAGAAGAATGTGATAACCAAATAATTGCGAGTCATCGTGATACATTTTATACAAAGAGTCGATGACATTCTGCCTGACTCCCAAGGCAATGGCAACATGTTCTACTTGAGCATGATTGTAATCCTTCATTACAGACATCAAGTGACTCTTTGTTAGTTCTAATTAAAAGATAACAGTGTTAATATATTGTTCTAGCTAGCAGTATATATATATACCTATTTCACCATCTTGCTCTTCTCCAAACACAGTCCTAGCAAGTCCTCCAAGATCACAGAGTTTCAGTGCACTACTCAATTCCATTCTAGCCTCAAATTCAGATTCCAATTCACAGGCCTCCCACCACTTTTGCAACAGCTTGTAAGCAAACATTTCTGAGTCTTCCATGTAAACATGACGAAACATTGAGATGTGCCTTTGATCAACTTTCAGTTGAACAGCAACTTTCTCTGCCTGTACAAATGTCAAGCAGCCAGCAAGATGAAGCAAAGATACCTCCATTCAACTTTATTATTGTGTACGAATATGCAAGGTGATGCTTTATATAACGTGCACATCAGATGATTAACTTTCAGTTAGGAAGTTTCTTTAGCTTATGTGTATTTTATTATAAGAAAAGAACTAGGAATCAAAGGAGCAATGCCTATCAATTGAAAAATGCAACAAAAGTTCACAGAGTCTGGACCAAAGACTCCACTTCGCTCCTGGATTGCTTTAACTTCTTCTTGCTAGCATCCTCTTCTTTAGCATAAGCTTGTTGACTAGTGCGCCCAGATACAGCCTATACAATAAAGAGAATTATAAAAGTATCCTCCACTCATCAAATATAGCTTACAGCATCAGCTTGGGAACGCAGTTGACTCAATATGTCCGAAATTTCAGTCATTTTCTTTACAATGGTTGTTACCTATATCATGTAACAAATAAATTATAAATTAGTAACATACTTATAGTTGATTACATTACTTAAAAGCTTACTTTAGTACTGGCTTCATTATCAATCTTTCTCAACTGATCTTGTTGAGCCTCAATGTTCTTACCATAGGCAGCAAAACGCTCCAATGTATCACTGCAAGTTGAATTAAAAGCACGGTGATTCTAGTATGATTAAATAGTGATTAAAATACTAGCTGTAGAGAATTTACTTTACTCTTCTTGAATGACTCAACAGCACCAAGAAACTGATCCACTAACCTAAAACGACTGTCAACAAAATTGACAATGTTCTCTTTTAAAACAGCTGCCTGTTGCCGAGCCACGACTTCTGGATCCTACCAATGCCATATAAACTACGGCCTCACTAGCCTGGATTAGCTAACCTTAGTGATTGAGAAATCAAGACGGACAAGGAAAATAATAAATAAAAAGAATAAGAACAGTGCGCCAATGAGTAAAAACGGTTCCTGAAGCAACAGGTAAGACTCAAAGTCATACTCCAGCTATAAAACAGACTAACATTAGTCATAACAGCTAAAAGGGGGACTTGCTTGAAAATTCAAAATATGCTGTTCTACCAGATTATATGCTTTAGCAATAATGACAGGACGACCAACAGTATCAAGATAGGTGCTATGAACAGAGGTAGCTTGATCATGCACAGGGTAAGGTGGTAGGAAATTAATATTCCTAATAATAATAGCAATAATAATAATTATTATTATCATTATTATTATACTTGGAGCCTTCAGGAAGGATAATTTTGACAGTGGCTTCATCTATGACCTGATCATCATAGACGTGATCTACAAATCTCATGTCCAGGACAAAATGGCTAGCCTGGTGATACAAATACTCATAAGTGGGGACATTATAGCCAATGTAGTAGTATGTCTGCCAACCACCAAACAATGGAAACCTATACAATGATATGAGAAAGTGACTCATGAAATGAATCATGATGAACTTTTTAGAATAATTTAAGTATATGATATGCAAATTATATCATTAAAATAACAAAACACGAGGAACAGAAACTATTCAAGTTTGTATATCATGATGACGCAAAAGGGCTTGACAATCATATGACATATGCCAATGAGGAAATGGAGCAAACTACAGACTTAGGGTATGCCTCAAGGGGTCAATTATTACAGTTTGGGTATTAATAAAAAACAATTTTAGTGATTGGACATGACCCACACATTGAGAGAGTTTAGGTGAGGTCACACTAAACCATGACATCAATTATGATGCACACTTGCTAAAAAGGCAATGTAATAAAAAATTGGCCTAAGGCAGTTCCTTGCTGACGATAATGACAGAGTATTACAACTCCCTTATCTATCATTTATGTAGCCGCTACATCAAAACAATGGTACTGATTAAATCTATCATTAAAGTATGAAAGCTAAATAAGGAAATTATTTTATTTTGCTTTTGCTAACCTAATCAGTTTATCATTGTTTCAATGTAGCGACTACAAAGCTCAGTAGCCAAAATAATAAAAAATAAATAAATAATCATGAGCAAAATGACATGATACGTGTATATAAATTAGCAAATAAAAACTTTCATTATGCTACAGTATGTGTCAATATGTATAACATCAGCTATTATCATAATTTAATAAGCACTGTATGCCATGCAAGGAGAGATCACTAAACTGAAAATGCCGAGTGCTGTCAAGTAGCGTGGGTTTACCACAAAGCATGCTAAGTGAGCTGACAAGCACATGGTATTAGGAGCAACTTTGAAAATTTGTAAAAAATCCAATCTTGATCGGAATCAGCTCAAACTATGTACACAACATAAGAACATGTATAATGTATTTTTTTAATTATTAAAAAGAGAAAATTCTCTCCTTGTGATTTTTGTGGAAATACCCTTTATCATAGTACAGGGTCTTTGGCATAATATTTGAGCAACTGACAAGAACATGCATGAGCACTGTGGCAAAATCCTATGAAAAGCAATGCAAGTAGCAACTATACAATGGAAGCATACGCAATACAAGGACAAGCATCTACCTTGGTCTTATGATTAGCTCAGTATAATCTTCAGAGTTCCTAAGGTGCGATGTTGAGATATTACCAATCTCATCCCGATAATACACATCCTGGGCAGCAGCAGGCAACAATGTGGTATAACTCTTGACAGCGCTATGACCACTGTTAGGATTACGCTGATAATCAAAGCGAGAAAAAGAACCCTTTAGCAAAGCCCCTATGAAATAAAAAGGCATAAGATATATCACTAATGTATTGGGAACATTTAAAACATACCACTGTGATGGACACGAATGTGTTCTTCAACTTGAATGACTCCCCAATGAGATACCTGTATAACTCGTTCAAAGGACTTTATCGTTAGGAAAGGATTGTTATTCTCGTAATGAAGGGTCATGCGGGCATTGCTAAAGGGGGCCAAATCAGTGTAGGGCCCATAGCTAATTTTAGCTCCGTCACTCGTGACTGGACTAACGCGTGTGTAGGACTCGATATTAGAGGAAGACAATTTAATTTCTGTATTTTGGGTCTTTGAGCGATACGGTAAGAACACATATGCATTGCCAACAAACTGGACAAACTGTTTTTCGAACTGGGTGATCTCTTTAGGGAAGGCAGCAATGACACGAGAGAAAACAGTATTGACAACGACATTCGTGGTTTCTTTAGGTGTGAGTGGAGACGCAAAATCAATTCGATATGTCATGACGCCGGGATGAGAGCCAACAGTCGTCTTTTCAAGGGATAAAGATTCCTTTGTTTTCCCCTATGCACAATGATAATAAAAAATTATTCGTCTTATTAAAAAGACTCACTTTTGCTTCAATATAGGCTAGTTTGTCACTCATGACATTGTCAACTGTGTAAAGAAATGAATTGGCCGGGAGGTCGCCTTCATTTAAAATGGTCAACGAAACCCCTTGTTTTACGACTTGAGAAGTGAGATCGAGTTCACGAGAGGCCCTAGTGATCAGTATCTTCTCATCAGGTTCCTCGGCATACAGAACACTCAGTGAAGACAACAAGACGAGACCCACCACAATCCAAAACCTGGCCATTCTTTTCAAACACGACACGTGGTGATACAATATTACTTTGTATCTAATTGAACGAGTAATGGATGTATACGGCCAAAATGCTGGCCGCCATTTTGTTTTTAATTAATCAAGAATAAAATAATAATAATAATAATAGACACAAACTAATCCAATCTAAGAACAGTTTCTAAATAACATACAAATGTCGACTGACACGACACACATCTGTAAGCAGCTAAAACTTGGTTTAGAACTACAGTAGAAACAGGTAAGCACAAGAGAAAGCAGCAAAAAACTCACATTTTTGAGAAATTCTTCTGCAACAATACGGGCACGTGCATTTAGCGAGATTTTCATTTCACTGATTTCTTTGTCAATCTCTTCCATAAACTATACATGTACACACACACACACACACACACACACACACACACACAATCACTGTAAATTACCATATAAGGGTGTAAAATAAACAAACCTGTATAACAAAATCCACTAGTTTGTGTTTGTACATTTGTTCGGTATGGAAGTTAGTTATTAAGAAACTAATGTCATAACCCTGAGGAGAGAGGAGAGAGAGAGGGAATATGAGTGAGTTGTAGCCACAATGTGACAAGTACTTCAATTGGTTTTCTCCTCAGGACAAAGAAATGCTCAGCCCTCATCATCATGAATCGCATGAACTTCTTGCAGAGAATCTTCTCAATCTCATCAGCCTTGAAGAGAGAGAGAAAGAGGGAAAGAAAGATAAGAGAGAGGAGAATAATATGAAAGGGAGATTATTTCTTACTGACATGTATATCCAATGTCATGCTTAGTACAATCCCATTACAGTTAATAACAGCAATAAAGTGTCCCAAAAGTACTTTATAACAACTAGTATTAGGTTAATGTTACCTGTTTGATGGCAATGGAGACTCTTATCGAATTGACTGAACCCTCAATCAAAACCTTCTCTTTCTCATTTCTACTAACAACAACAGGAGTCAGTAGCAGCTCTTTGCTACTTCTACAAATGTAAAGGAGTCAACACTGCCAAAAAACCAGACCACAGCCTCACTTGACTTCAACTTCAGGCTTGTTGTGTCTTTCTACAACTTGGGATTCAAAGTTCTCAATGCACAGGGCAGCAGTCAGAGTACTCCTGACGGCATTAAGGTACGGCTTTAACGTAGCAGACTAAAATAAAGGACTGTGAGTAGCTGTATCAGAAAGAGAACAAACTTACCATCTTTACTCCTTCCTATGATTATAGGTTTCGCTACTGAGCATGCGCAACCACGCCCACAATAACAATCGTTGGTTTAGCCACGCCCACCTTCCACCTCCCTCCTTTTGCTGCAGTGTGGTCCAATTGTCTTGAAATTATCCTCAAAGTCTCTCCTAAACCTTGCTTAGTTTTTGGATAATTATGGTAAATAAGCTAAAATTTGATGCTATTAATAATAATGTTAATAATTATTATTACTATAAGTGTAACAAAATAATAATAGTATAATTTTGCAGGATTTAGACAATTATGCAAGATATGTGAGTCCTGTTAATCCAGCTGTCTATCCTCACTTGGCTGTGATATTGTTAGGGATTGGTCTCTTTTTCATGGCTTGGTTCTTTGTGTATCCTCCCTCAGTAATAATAAATGCATATAACCATGTATTATAATTGTATTATTTATTTATTGCATTACAATTTCATCAATAGTTATGTGTATCTATTTTTCTTAACGTGCTTTATCATGGCAGATATGAGGTAACGTCCACCAAGTTTTCTCGTCGCATAATGAAGGAACTCTTGGTCTCGTTGTGGGCAGCCGTTTTCACTGGGTTTGGCACTCTGTTTTTGCTCTTATGGGTGGGAATTTACGTTTAGAACATAATTCTTTTTTTCATTACTCTCCAAGAAAAAATTAATTATTATAATTTAATATTTACGTGGGCGTGATTTGGTTCTTATGGGCGGGGTAATAGGTGGAGCTTAGTAAAAAATATGGCGGGTCACACCTCTCAAGAGAAAGAAGCACTCCGTAGTGTCGTCCTATCTTCGTTCTCTACGATACTCAGCGGGGACCAGCAGGAGAGGAAGAATGCAGAAGAGGAGCTGAGAGCATTGGAAGTGACTGAAGGTTTTGGCTTGAGGTTGAGTGACATTAAAACAAGACTCCTCCCCTCATCATTTAGGTTTTGGGCTAGTCCTCGTAGAGATCACCTTGATGACTGACGGCCCCATTGCCTGTAGACAAGTGAGGAACATTAAAAATATATTTCAATTTTTTGCATTAAAACACATGCAATGGGTCACTGTATGAATATTATTATTATTATTATTATTATTATTATTATATATCACTATTATTATTATTTCAGCTTGCTTCAGTTATTTTAAAGCAGTACGTCAAGAGTCACTGGTCTGAGGAGAGTGGAGAGTACAGTGTTCCTCCTAGCGAAGATGCCAAGTCTGTCATTAGAGAGCTGCTATTAAGAGGATTGGCTGATCCTTTAAGTAAAATACGTGCAACTGTGGTACGTCCATGCAACGGGTTGTATTGCAATTATGCTACATTTTCCATAGGCTTATGCTGTCTCTGCGATTGCTCAGCACGACTGGCCAGAAAACTGGCCTAACTTGTTTGACCAGTTGATGGTTGGCGTGGGGTCTGGGTCCCCTGATTTAGTTCACGGGACGATGAGGGTTTTGACCGAATTTTGTCAAGAGATCACGGATACTCAGGTACCTCACGTCTGCCCCGTTATATTGCCTCAACTTCTGAGAGTCATCGGATCTCCTCAAGTAAGTATTATTAATCTTATTAATTTTCAATTATTATTATTTTTATTAAGGTTTACAGTATTCGTACCAGAAGCAGGGCCATTAGTATATTTAGAACTTTATCTCAACTCATCTATGCAATGTCTGCTCACCTACCAGTAAGAACCAAATTGAAAATTATTATATTACTAGTAGCATTTTTAATAATTAGTACTTTATAATCTTTAATTAGGAAGCTCCTCTGAGTTTATTATTTCCGGTCCTCCCATCATATATTGAACAGTTTGTCCAACTACTCAATAGTAATGATGAGTTCAGCAGTGATCCTGGCCTCCGTAAAGAGATCATTACATCACTCAGCAAGCTATTGGAATGGTTTCCTTCTCTGCTGAGACCTCACCAGATGACCATTGTCACACCTATATGGAATGTCCTCATCTCCAGCTCGGAACTGTATCCATTATACATGTACATGTATATGTATTTGCATGCATGGTGACCATTGTAGAACCTTGTACATAATCTATACTTAATATTGCCCAGATATTATTATAATGATTTTATTGTTTCTTAACAGTTTTGTGTACAGTTATAATACAAATGTTGTCAAGTGTTCAGACGGATCCATTGATGTGTATGATAGTGATGGAGAAATTATTAACTTTGACTCTGGTAAGCAAATACGATTCACATGTATATGACATTTTCCCTTCATCATGTAATTTTATTGCTGAATACTAATATAGTCTTGTTTGCCATTTTTCGATTCATTGCTATACTATTGGAATGCGGTCGTCATCCACAATTATTTCTTCCTATTATTCACAAGTTGGTCGATCTCCTCACATCACTCATGCAGATTACATCAGAGCAGGTGCTTCTGACGGCATTTGTCCTTGATATGTTGTTTTTCATGCTCAGGTAATACTCTGGGAAAATGACGTGTCACGTTATTTAGAAGATGATGACAACGAATTGGCTTTTTCTGTTAGATTAGGCGCTTTTGAACTTCTGCAGGTGAGCACACAGTATCTATATACTTATGATATGATGCTATTATTATGCAGCAATTATCTGAGGATACTAACCTGAGAAGTTCAGTATGTGAGGCCATTAACAATACCATTGAGAGGAATTTAACTCAAGACTCCAGTGGGGATTGGTGGAAGGTGAAGAGATGCACAAGATTGTACTAGTATCTGTTATTGTTGTTCTTTTGTTGTTTAGATTCGTGAGGCATGCTTGTGGATAGTAGGCTCCATTATAATTGATGGTAAAAAGCAGTCAGTGGGTTTCAACGGAGAAGTTTTTGTCGATAATGTTCTCATACCAAATTTAATGTCATCTGGTATTCAATTAAATTCACTTAGTCATCATTATTATTATTATTATGTTTGTTAGTTTCACCATTCCTCACTGGTAGATGCTTATGGCTTGCTGGAAAGATGTGCGATCAGCTCAACTCGGAAACTTTAAACAAGTCATTTACACTCTAAATCCAAGTCCTTTTTATCATCATTATAGATGCTTACAAGCAACTGTGTCCGGCCTTCAGCCATCACAGAACGGCATTGTTAGAATAATGGCAGCAAAATCCTGTTACTCGTATGTTAATGGAAATATTAATGAATTACTCTATTTGTATTTTAATGTCAATAGTTATTGTATGCTATTAAAGGAGTCAGATAGACACTCTGTTGTTGTTCCCTATCTCTCCTATTTCATTAATGACATATGCACCATTTCATCAGAGTCTCATGAAGACCATCTATTCATTGCATTGGACTCACTCCAGAAAGTCTGCCAGGTCTGCCCATCATCTTTATGCACTCTCTCTGAAAGCATCAGTAATACTTTTGTATCTCTAGTTTGATGATAGGGTCACTGCTGTTCATGCTGAAAAGCTAGTTCCTCTAAGCCTGTCGTTATTCTTAAAATTCTCTCATGGTACATGCGCACATACGTGTACATTGCATAGGTAATATTTGTCTTCAATATAGACCCCATGACTAGCTCTTGCTTGGAGGAGCTCTTTGCATGCTTAGCTGCTAATGTTGGCTGTCATGCTTTGCTTCACAGTAGGATTGTACCAGTTGCCATTGAGCTTCTATCGGCCACTGAGTCCCAAGTACCTTTGGGAATGATTTCGGTACAATTATTATCAATAATAACTGATTGTCAGATTGTGGCTCTCTCTTTGTTCATAGGCTGTGCTAGATATACTGGTGGTGGTCATTAGAGGGTGTGTGCCACCTCTCCCTCCTCCTTTCCTAGATGAACTGTTCAAGGTTGTTGTAAGGAAGATTTTAGTATCTGAAGACTCTGCCATACTCCAGGTGCTGATAGTAATAATGCAATCACTCCACCATTTATAGAAATTATCAATAATTATTAGAGTGGTGGAGAATGTGTTAGAGCATATTTATCAGTTGCTTCAGATCAGCTTATCACATGGTAAAGATGTTATTGTGCATTTATGCTTTGTTTTAATGGAAATATTTAACTATTTTTTAAAAATGTGTGTATCACTGCACAGGGTTGATGAGTCAGGGCAGTCAGGATTACATTATGCAGCTCAAGTCGTCATTCATTTACTTGATCCTGCTAGACCAGAATATTCTGCGGCATTCATTGACAAACTGATCATTGTCTTTATCAAGAAAGTATGTTTGTTATTTTTAAAAATGATTTATAAATCCTTGAATCTTGCTAGGTTGGTGCAGCATTAGGGAGTTATCTTGAGCTAGTCCTCCGATCTGTGCTAAGTAAAATGCAGCAAGTAAATTTAATAGTTTTTCTTGCATTATTTTTAAAAATGTCCAAGTATAGGCACAGGCTGAGAGTGTGATGCAGTCTTTGTTGATTGTGTTTGCTCACTTAGCCTCCAGTCAGCAGCTGGAAGGGCTCCTAACTTTCCTGTCTCAAGTCCCAGACCCTTCTGGTAGACCAGCACTAGAATATGTCATCACTGAGTGGTGCGCGAGACACGTATGTATGATGGACATATAAATGCTACTTAGTATTTTTTCTTTTTCTTTCTTATTATACATGTACATGTGTAGTCGTGTTTCTTTGGTAGCTATGAGCAGAGGCTTAGCACCATTGCGTTGTGTCAGCTGCTCTCTCACTGTATTAATACTGGGGACCAGAGACTCAACAGTATTGCCGTGGTAGAGGAAGAGATACCTTTGACTAGTGATGGTAGGCCCTAAGGGGATTGCCTATAGTTTATAGTTACTATGCATTGAGTGTATAGGTATTGTAACTCGTAGCAAGAAAGTGTCGGCCGGTCAATCGTGGACAAGAGTTCCTTTACCTGCTAAGCTACTCAAAGTTCTTATTGGCGAACTCCAGTCTCAAATTGAAGGCTCAGAGGAAGAAGATAATGGAGATGTACGTATGCTGGTTTTAAAATGAATGCTACCAGCTCGTGCTTATTGTAGGATGAGGACCCTTGGTCTGGTGGGGGAGGGAGGGAGGAGGGAGAGGATGATGAAGGTGGAGATGATATGATCAATGATCTTGAGGTTTTGCTTGGTGATGTGGGTACCATTGGGCTAGAGGAGGAGGAAGAGGATGATGATCCTGATCTCAAAGATGAGGAACTCTTAAAAATTGACTTACATGTAAGGAATGTTCTTAACATGCATCATGCATATGCACATTATAATGATTTTTATTGCTACTGTTTTTTTCCAGTCTCATTTAGTGCACTATCTCACTGAACTCTCATATCAACCATGCTTCCCTTCACTACTGCATCACCTCTCCCCTTATGAGAAGCAAACACTTGGAGCTGTTGGTGCTATCACCTCTGTATCAAATTAAATTATTATTGAACCAAAATGAAAAATGAAAAATTATTGATTATAAAAATTTTAATTAATTATTATTCATAGTGTTATAGGCGGGCTATATTGATCACGTGACTTTTATTGTTACTTAGTAACACAACTAACAGCGAGTGACCTGAGAGAAGATGTTGAGATTGCAGCAACAGCAGAGACCTCCTTCTGGAGGAAGCGAAGCCGAACTGGACACGATGGGTAAGGAAGTTGTTAGTATAAACAGGCCGTATCTTGTGTTGTAGCGAGGGAGGATCTCGCTGTGCTTCAGAGAAAACTGAGAGTGAGTGAAGAAAACAAGAAGGCCTACTCTGATCAAGCACATAATGTCCTTAGAAAGCAAACGTGAGTGTGAAATGAGCTCCCTGTCCTTAATACAGCTTATATCTCCAGGTCAATGATTCAGGCCTTGACTCGTGAGCACGAAGAATTGAAAAAGAATTTAAAATTAGCGTCCAGTAATCAAAACGAATTGAAGGTGACATATTTTTAAAAAGGGCGACAGAGTACATGTTATACAATGCACCAATGTAATTTGAAATAGCCAACTACTAATCCACAATTGGTTAATTAATTTAAATTAGATTTTAAATTTAAAGTGCATGGTCATATTAACTAATGCTTGTGCAACCTTTAACATTATTATCATAGGATATGCACATCTCAATAAAGTTTAAGGAACTTGTTGAAAAACATGGTGAGATTCAAATATAGCCACTCCATGTGCTGCATAATTTCATATAAACTACTCAATAGTTATTTATTCGCGTCAAATTTCTGAGGAGCAGAAACTGATCCACGACATAGAACTTAAAACAAAATCCATAGAAGAAGCAGTTACCAAGCAACGGAAGTTGATGGGAGGGTAAGCAATTGCATGTCTTCACATGAATAGATGTCAGTCCTAATATGATCATGACAGGTCGCAGATGAGCCAGCTACAGCACATTGCTGTCCAAAAACAGCTCCGTGTCATGGAGAATAGACTAGACAAGGTATGGGTGTTCCACAGCCAATGGGTTGGTTATGTCTATTGTAGGCCTTGGTGAGGTTCAACACTGGATTATCAACCAATGCCAGGCTCCGCACACTCATCGATCATCTAAGACAAGAGAAACAAGTTTTTGAAGGATTGCAGAAGAAGCTTCAAAAGGTTCGTTGTGCTTTTACTTATTTATTTATTTATTGATAATGCTAATTGTTGCTTTCATTTTATAGGAGCTGGCAGTTTTTAAAAGAGAAATGGGTGAAGTTATTGACAAATCAACCGTGGCATATTCAGCAAGGTAACAATAATAATTGTTGCTGTGATTGAATGTTTTTGCTTGTTTCTCAGGGAAGATGCCCAGGGTAAGCTACTGGCTCTTAAAGACAAAGCAGACAAGGAGTTGGCTCAATATCAGACAGAATTGAAGGTGAGTCTACAATTAGGGTTTCCTGTTGCAATTATAGTTGTGGAATATATGAAATAGGAATTGGTCAGAATTATTGACCACGATCAAAGACTCCGCAACTTTATGACATGCAAAGATCAAGAGCGCACTGATGCTCATAGAGAAATGGAAGCTACTCGAAGACGAAAAAGTATAACTATAGACATTTATCTCAATGCATATTAATTGTAACATTTTAGTTGCGGAAAAGATTGAAGAACGAGAAAGAACAGTAACAGTAAGTGCTCAACTATTAGATAGCTGCTCTTGCTGCTTTCTATGGTACATTAATCAAATATTTTCTTGTAGTCATATGAAGAAGCTTTTCAGAGTATTCAAGAAGCAACTAGCATTGTTGACATTGACCATCTTGTTAGTAGATTCATCGAAGGTATGACTGCATTTGTGATTGCTGCTAATATGTGACTGATTCCTCTGCAGTTGAAGATGAGAATTTCGCACTTTTCAACTTTGTTAATGAGCTAAGTGGTAACATAGAGCTGGTGCAGGAGGCCATCACTGGTTTAAAGGAGGAGATGGCAAAATTCCAAAAGGAGGGAGTTGCCTTAGAACAACAGCGAGAAACCATACTGCAGGGCTTAGAGGGTGAATTAAAAGTCACACAAAACGAAACCAAGGTTTCTGAATCACAATATGAAGTGTCTAGTCGTGTATTGGGACAACTCAGATCCAGTATGCTTTGCTTCTAATTAACTTAGTTTTTAATATCCTGCATTTTATAGGCATTGAGTCTGTCTTTTCAAAAATTGGCTGCGACAATACAACTATTACAGAGTTGCTAGGCGGACATGCCGGCGTTACTGAATCAACAATGCTACAGTACCTGGGACTGATAGAGCAGAGAACTAATGAGCTACTCCAATTACAAGTTTTCTTACAAGTTAAAGTAAGTTGTATCATAGTTTAGATGAAAGCCTGTCTTTCCTATTTAGTCTGAGTTAGATAGTAGAGCTAGACTCATCAATCGTTCCATGCACACTTCAATTTAGTTTTCTCACTTTGTGTACAAGTCATATTTTAATTTCTCATAGGAATCTGATGACCCAGAAGCCATAGCTCAATTGTTGATGACTAAAAGTTCACTACCTGGTCTCAAACAACCTTCAATAGTATTACCGTCAACAACGTAATGTCATTTCATGCTATAGGAAGATATTACCCATATCTGTACATGTATGTAGATCTGAGTATAGCATTGATAGTAATGAAGATGAAGGGCTCCCACTTACTCAAGAGGAGCTCAGACAGAGGGCAATGAAAGGAGTAAGCACTGATTGTGTCCATAAGAATATATCATTTGTTTGTCATTATTCTTATAGCTCACTAATCGTGAGGCACGCAAGACAGCCACAGTGCTACCAACTCCTCCCGGGACTGCAATACCTCAAACTGGCAAAAGTCGTAGCATTCCATCGGGAAAGAAGAGAGCTGTAGCAACTCGTTAAATGTGACAATAGTTCATCACATAATAAGAGCGTGTATACTGTATGTAGTGACAGCATTAACATTATTATTAATCTTGCCCATGACCATTACATTACTGATATAACTATAATTATTTTAGCAACTTTAATAAATACAAGTAATTATAACCATACAACCATTATAATAATTGTTATCTCAGATATTGCATTTATCATTTAAAAAAAAAGATTATAATTGAAATTATTTGTTCCCAGTTTTATTTAACAAAGACTGAGCCACTGCTTTCAGGACAGGATTACAAGAATTGCTATTACTTTGTGCTATGCTAATTACACCAGGAGAGACAGTTTGACCTGATGCTAAAAGAATAAAAAAAGCAGTAAATTGCATACATGTCACTGAAATGTAACGCCATACCTTGTCTTTTATCAATGTTCTGTGGTGCTAAATTAGGAATAATAAAGTCATCATCAGGTGTCAGCACTTCATGAGCATCTAATAGGGTTGATATGATATTCTTGTCACCAGTTGGAGGTCGAAGCTGTAAAATAATCATTTATTTATAATCATAAGATTTACTGAAGACTTACGCTAGGATCAACTCCAAATATAGTATAATATGCATATACATCGACTACAGTTAATACTCCTATAATGTCAAGTATTAAAAGATTCTGTTTTAAGTATAATTATACTAACCAAAGCCGCGAAATATTTCTGTTTTCTTTTCTGCTTTGTAGAAGCTAGTCACACCATCAAATTCATTATAGGTGTGTAGTGACTTCACTTTTCTGTACACAAAGAGAACAGACTTTTTCCTGAAAACAAAGATTGTTTCTCTACTATACACAACAGTAGCGTCACGAGGAATGTCGTTTTGTATAAGCCTATCAGGTGATACTTGCAATTTCTTGTGAGGTTGGTTGACTAAAGAGCGCAATATCCTAGCAGCTTTCTATCAAACACAGCAATGAAGATTACAAAAAAATGTCAGACCTACCTGCTTCATTTTAATTTTATGCAGCTCACTAGACCTTCTTCCTCTTGCAGTGCATCCTTGAGCATCCTGAAGCTTTGGATTAAAGCAAACTACTCTCATTCTGAACCCTGGCCTCCTCATTACTCTGTTGCTACGAAACTCGACCAGTATACGAGATGGTTCTATGTCACTCCTAGGTATGTCATTACCACACGATACGTCCTCGCCAAAGTCTCTGGACATTCGTAAAAAATCCAAGCAAAGCGAATTACTAAAGAAAGGGCTAACAACAGATGCCTCTAGTGAATGCTCAGGGACATCATAATACATCAATTGTCCTGCAGGACAGCGAATATTCCACCTACACAATAATCTAGAGAAACATCATGGCAAAGAACACATCAAAATCCAAAACCTACCTGTTTACATAGTTGGCTCCTCTTCTGCGGCCTGGAGTGTTCAAAAAGTAAACAGTATAGTTCTCTGATTTTACTCCTACTGTTAGATTCCTTTGTCTGACAAAGACCGGATCACAGACAGTGAATCCAAAAAGCATCCTTGCTTGCGTACGATAGCAAAAATACTGACTATAAATGAGGTTAAGTTATCTATATATAGCTTGTTAAAGGTTTCAATGTGGCTAACTTTTCTGGTGGGCTTCTAGGAGTAATTGGACACTGTGTAAAAACAGCAAAGAGATCATTAATTCCATCTGAGACTGGGAAAAATTGTGCTACAGTGAGAAGTGGCAGAATACATAACACTGGTAGTATTTTGATCATTGCAGGAGAGGGCCTTTTCCTTTAGCTGTATGGCATATTGTAGCTTTTTGTATGAATTTATAGCATGCAGAAAAACCAAAATCTATTTCGTCACTTCCTGTTTTATATTCACTTCCGGTTTCATAATCGATTTCCGGTTTCATAATCACATCCGGTTTCATAATCACATCCGGTTTCATAATCACATCCGGTTCCATCATCACATCCGGTTTCATAATCACATCCGGTTTCATCATCCACGTGCCACCCCCGGTTTTGTTAATTTTACACGTGTCACCAAAAATGGCTGCCAATGAAGAAGCCCGTACAACTGGAAATTCTGCTTCACAAACCAATAGAGATGAGGATTTTACAAATTCTATCAATGTAGATCTATTCAACTCAGTCATGGGCAATCCTTTTGAGTGAGTCACAAGCTATTAGTTACTTATTTAAAAAATTATTCATTTCCAGTTATAACCCAGCAGCCAAGAAGAAGTCATTCCTGGATCATGCACTTGCTGCAGTGATTAGTGTACCTATTCATCATCCAATTCGTCTTATATCCAACCTCATTCAGTTTGGCTATGAGCCATATCCTCCCACGAGGCACTATAGCTTCCTTGTCCGTCAGCACCTCTATTACTATCCTGGCGTCTTTGGTTATGCTCGTAATATCATTAAAGAGAGAGGGTGGAGGGCATTGTATCGTGGAGTGGGGCCAGCATTAGCGGAAGAAATAGTTTTGGGATTGGTTGGCGATGCTGTGAAGCCGTTGGTCTATTCAGTTGTTAGTTCTCTCCCTCTCTCTGAAGTTCCCGGGAACGACGACACCCCGGACACAATTGAAAACGTCCAGTCTACTCGTGCGACCATTGTTCGTGGTATAAAGGGATTCCTCTTGATGTCAATCTCTGGTTGTGTCATAGAGGTTGCTGTTCGTCCTCTTCGTGTCATCACACTGAGGACAATAGCTCAGCACGTCGGGGAAGAGACTATATACAATGGCTTCTTTGCAGCTGCAAAGGAGATTTATCGTAGTGAGGGCCTACGCGGTTTTTATAATGGGATTGTTCCGGCTCTTTTGCACCACGTGATGTCTGCACTGGTGTATCAAGGAGTCTTCATTGCTATTGAAGAAATTGTCCATCTATTATCTGTAGGAGTTATAGGAGGGAGCTTGGTCATTTTGAAGGGACCCATTGCTTCTTATGTCACTCGTTCCTATACTTATCCATTCTCCCTCATCAGTAATATATCAGCTATCAATAGTACCTCACTTGCAGTTACTAAGTATGTCCCTTCTTTTGTTTCGTGGAGAGAAGGATGGAGGCTCTTACGCTCAACTGGAGACTTATATCGTGGTACTTCCATTTTGCTTCCTCGGTTTGCCCACAGTGATTCAAGAAACAAACTATGATGAATGAAAGAAGTTGACATTATTCATTAAAAATTTAGTCATTTTTATTTGTAATTTGATTTTGCTAGAGCAAGTTTATGTTAATTAGCATTGTTGTTAATGAGCCACACCCATTTATGGATTGTCAGCATGTTTCTTTCTCTGCTGTTGCTCTCTTTGCTTGGAGCAGTGACTGAAGCTTCTTGGACGCAACAGTATGGTGATTGCAGCTCTACCAGTTACATACCTTTCAAAGGGACCATTGATACTGAATGGAGGTACCTCGGACCGCGAGCTTCTTTAGACAACAGCAAACCTCACAGCCCTTCAGTGTCTATGACCAATGGTAACATTTACTTGGGTCTTCAGTCTCGACTACTTGCTATATCTTCAGAAGGAGCCGTTTTAAGGGAGTACGACGTACAGCAGAGAGATGCAGAGTACTACCTGGAGACTAGTAATGTTGTGTTCTCTGAGAAGCATCAGACTGTTGTAGTGATTGCTGCAGGTGATACCAGTGATCATGAAGGAGGCCAAGAGCTAACCCGCATATCAGCATTAGACCCATCATCAGGCAAGGTCTTGTGGTACAAAGGCGATATTAAACTGATAGCGACTAACTGGCTAGTCCTGTCAGAAAAACAAGGCCTGATCTATGTCATAGGTCTTAAGGGTTTCTCAGCAATAGATATTAAAACTGGGTCTATAGCTTGGACACAGCAAATGCCATGGTCTAATTTGATTTTGATGTCGCCAATATTCGCAAGAGTATCTGATGAGTTGGATCTGATGCTTTTACCAGTAGTACCTGGAGTGAATGATGGTGTTTTGTATGCTGTAAACACTGCCAATGGAAAATTACTATGGAAACAGACTCTGGGATTTAGCTATGATGGAAGCTTTGTGATTTCACCCACTAATGGAGTCATATACGGTTGCACGGGGCTCTTCTCTGATGTTTCTCATGGGAAGGATATCATAATATTGAATGCAAAAGATGGAAAAATTCTGTATTCAGGAGCTGGACACTGCAGCGGTAATGATACACAGGTAATGACTCCATCAGTGGATAATGAAGGCAATGGCTACTACAGGTAAAACAATTACTAAGTAACATTCTACTATGTATTTTTTTAATCTTATCTGTAGCTGTGGTAATCAGATCTTTTCAGTTAAATCTGGTGGAGAGCTTCGATGGGTATCTGCTTCATATGGGAGCGAGAGCCTTCCACCACACATTCCAGTATCCATAAGACCCGATGGGACATTGTTCTATGTCACCATCAACCAGACAAGCATACTAACCCTCTCTCATTTGGATGGGTCACTCATCAAGTCCTATACAGGTTCTCCTGGTGTTATGATAAGCCAGCCACCAATTCTTTTAGGAGACCAATACATGTACATTGTTGGTTTAGCCCAAGAATCAACCGCTTACATATATCCAATGAAACAATAAATTATAATTAAAACAAAATTAATGCTGTTTTTGCTTCACATATGCTATTATTGCACATGCAATTATGTCTTTTTATCATGTTTTTGCTGTAAATTTTTCGAATCTCGTTTGGATCTGAAATTATAATAATTATGCTAGTTTAAAAATAGAGTATTTACGGTAGCTATACCTTTTGCATGATTGCTTCCATTTTTGCAGATAACTTGTTTTAAGCGATGGCATTTCCTCATTAACAAGTCCAGTATTCTGTGAAAAAATAATTTGTAGTATTTGTAAGTAAACATACAGTGTTCATGGTGGCTAAATGCTCAAACTTTCTACACAGCATAAGAACATATGTATCAGAAAATGTAACAAAATTTGGGGTGATTCTGAGCCATTTTTTGGAGAAAATCATTGGCTCATTTTTTTTAAATGCTCATAACTCGAAAACTATTTGTCGGAAACAGCTCAAACTTTCTGCACAGCATAAGGATATCAATATGTATGAGAAAATGTAATAAAAATTTGGGGTGATTTTGGGGCCAATTTTTGAAAAAAAACCATGGACTATAGCCTTGGGTATTTTTCAGAATTTTAGCGTTTTCTTAAAATGGCCGTAACTTGAAAAATTGAAGTCGAAATTACCTCAAACTTTCTACACAGCATAAGGACATCAAAATGTATCAGAAAATGTAATAAAAATTTGGGGTGATCTTGGAGCCATTTTTTGGAAAAAAACCATGGACTATAGCCTTGGGTATTTTTTTAGAATTTTAGCATTTTTTTAAAAATGGCCGTAACTTGAAAAATTGAAGTCGGAATCACCTCAAACTTTCTACACAGCATAAGGACATCAATATGTATCAGAAAATACAATAAAAAATTGGGGTGATTTTGGAGCCATTTTTTGGAAAAAAACCATGGACTATAGCCTTGGGTATTTTTTTAGAATTTTAGCATTTTTTTAAAAATGGCCGTAACTTGAAAAATTGAAGTCGGAATCACCTCAAACTTTCTACACAGCATAAGGACATCAATATGTATCAGAAAATACAATAAAAAATTGGGGTGATTTTGGAGCCATTTTTTGGAAAAAAACCATGGGCTATAGCCTTGGGTAATTTTCAGAATTTTAGCATTTTCTTAAAATGGTCGTAACTTGAAAAATTGAAGTCGGAATCACCTCAAACTTTCTACACAGCATAAGAACATCAATATGTATCAGAAAATGTAATTAAAATTTGGGGTGATTTTGGAGCCATTTTTTGGAAAAAACCATGGGTTATAACAGTACATGTTTCTTGTTGAATTAATGAACTTTTAAATATTCTAAAATTGATTTTGCCAATATCAGATGCAAACTACTTTGCATTGGGATTGCATTCTTGATGAGCACATCTTTTATTCACTAAAATATCTAAGACTCACCAAATTCTCGTCCATGACAGATATATCAATAACTGGCTTAGAGACTTGATACGATTTAAATTTCTTATTCAAAAAGTGATCTCTAAAAATCAAGACATGAAGCTAAATAGAGCAGGCAAGTAACAAAACCTGTTCTCAGTAGTCCTGCTGATAGGTGCCTAAATGATGAATAATACAATCATAGTACATACTTCCATAAAGCTTACAGGAAGTTGCTTTGCAGTTCCACCCATAACTTGTCCTAAAGGATCATTCTGCACCCAATCCCGGCACACAGAATATAACGACGGCTTCTTACCCAAACGGGATAAATTTAAATGGCGACCATATATGGAAATAACTTCACTAGAGCTAAAAATAGATCACATGAAAAAAGCATTGTGATTGTGGAATTATATTTACCTTGTCTCCTTTTCATCATCACTAAATGCTGCTATACAAAAATATATATAAATAATTAACATATTGTTTGACACACATACTATCCGATAGGCTATCTCTTTGAGCTCTTTTTCTTTTCCTTCTTTGCTTGTAGGCTCTCTTTCGTGGCGAAGAATATTCTAATCTGTTAACATAAAAATTACCACTTCAATTTTGAGCCGACAATATTCAAATATTTTATTAAAAGTTTGCCAATTTTTGCCGATGGTATTCTTGCCTGACCCATTACATAATTATACACTATATATAATTATCATTACTCACAGGTCTCTGGCAGCTTCTTCTACATCTTCATCGACATCCAAGTGATCATCCTGTTTACTGCAAGAGAGACAAAATCATGAGCTGCCTCGCTGAAGACTTACTTGTCTTTCCTTTGCAATACTAAGTCTTCCAACACGTCGCGGAGTTGTGTACGACCTATAGAGAGAGAGATGCAGGTCAGAGTCAACAAAAAAATAGTCAAAAATAGAGAACATTTACCACTTTGAACTTCCATGATTCTAGCGTCACACCCTCTGGAGACCTCCCACCACCACCACCACTAGCACTGATGTACTAGATCTAACTACACGCAATTATTTTCGCAGCGAAATAATGTCGGCGAAGTATCGGGTTTTGCTATCATCTTGCCCTAGTTCAGAGTCCACTCCAAGCAATCATAGATCTTCTGAACCTATCGTTAGAGCATCATCTAATCCCAGGGATGCTGAGATTATCTCTAAAGACTTCAAGAGGCACAGTTCCCTACCACATCAGTGCGGGAAACTTCATGGTTTCTTACAGAAATTATCCGAGAGGCGATCCTCATCAATCAGACGTCAAGCAAGACTGGAAAGTAAAGACAGAGTCCAATTCAAAGGAGGCCAAGCAATACTAAAGACCGGGAGATCACTAGATAGAGAGGAGAGTGTCGCTGAACTGGATGCTGAGAGTAACGACGAAATCAAGAAGTGGCAGGAGAAAAGAGTGAAGAAGAGAGCTTTATCTGATAATAGTTTGCTATCAAGAACACAATAAGACAGATGGCCACTCACTGCTAATAGCTACATCGAGCTACATAGTATCTTGCAGGACATGCTAACTTGACATTTCCAAAATCAAATAACAATATGTCTGTCACTTGTATCCAAACATCATTACATGCCATTACTATCAGATGCACACACAATAGCAAAACAATGTGTAAAGTTAATCTTTTATGACAAAAATGTATTTTAATGTTTCCTAATGTTTATTTTAAAATAGTTCTATGTACATATAATGCATAATGCATGTATAGTAGCAAAATCAACCAAAATATATGTTTCTTAATGAAACAGTACTATGATAATGAAGCTCAATCTTTTTATAACCAAACTATTATAGTAATGTTGACAGTATTGTTTACTTCTTGAGTCTTGAGTGATCCCTATTGTGTTCCCTGAATGTTATTAATTATGTCATCAGACTCATTCATAACAATATGAGTCACTAAATCATTCATTGCAGACAGGTCCCCCTCAGTGATGCTAAGTGTTGTTGAGAAAGTACTACTACCAATACTTGAAGCTTTCTCTTTGTGCTCCTCACTCTGGTAATGAGAATAAAGATCGTCTGGATCTTGGAAAATTTTATTACAAGTGTTGCAGGGAAAGACGTTTATGACTCTCCGATACTCTGGATGAGTCTTCATATGTTGACGATAAGCATAGAGTGAATCAAAACCCTCTGAACAGAATCGACAATTTAACTTTGCCTGACCATCGTGAACCTTCACATGGACCTGAAGATAAGCCAGCCTTGAGAATACTTTACCACATATCTCACACTCAAAGCGATGGTTACATATCTTGTGCTGCTGGAGGTCATCATGCGAGAGACAGACCTTAAAGCACTCTGAGCAACGAGAGTCCTCATTCTCAGGATGCTCCTTCTTCAAATGCTCCTTGAGTTCAGCAAGCAGAGAAAAAGACTCTTCACACTCTTGGCAGTGGTAAGGCTTGCTCTCCCCATGAACCTTTAGGTGATTGAGGTACATTGATCTAGTGGCAAAGGATCTGTTGCAAGTCTCATGAGTACATGTGTACGGATGGACCGAGGCATGCACCGACTTAATGTGACTCTCTAGGGAATCCTTACGAGTAAATGATTTACTGCAATAGCTACATGGAAGGCGTGGACGATTGGGATCATGAATCTCGAGGTGACGAGTGAGGCGATATGGCCTATCAAATGCCTTGTTGCACACGGAGCACTTGTACTCACGAAAAGCAGCCCCGGTCTCCGACACCTTAACAGTGGTAGTCACTTTCATACCGTCCAAGTCTATCTCTGTAGTGGAAGGATTGAGCTCAACTTCCAAACGATCAAGATCATGAGAGTCCTGCTCGGAATTCTGCGAAGATGAGAGTATCACGTGCTCTACCGGCTGCAGGCTTTGAGCAGTAATAAAACGAGAGGCTGGGGTGGCAACAGCAACAGAGGAAGTATGCTCAGAGTTTGATTGGGTACCAGCGATAATCATGTTACTGTTGTCCGCTGATGAAGAGGAAACACTCAAATCGAAATTGGACTCACCAACAAGCTCGCTACCCATACACGTAGCAATGTCGAGAGAAGAGGGTTGGGACGAGGGAGAGGAGGGGAGAGGGAGAGACGTGGTCGGGAGCTCCTCCATGTATTGCTCAAGATTGTTGACGTCAATAACTGGGGCATGGTTCTCACGAAGATGACGCATCATGCAGCGACGATAAAAGAAATTAATTCCACAAAGCCGACAGACTAACGCGTTTAGTTTAGCACGTTTGCTCACACGACGCTTGACCTGTTTAGCAGGAGAGATGGGAGTAGAATTTAGTATAGGAGTCAAGGACACTTTGGGAAACAACGCCGAACCAGAGGCTGCGGCAGATTCCCGACATTTCCGACAAAAATTTGGCATTTGACCTTGGTCTGTATTGGTACCAAATGTCTTTTGACAGCCACGACATGTGAACACAGCTACAGAACTATAGGATCATAAAAAAATACTGATTAAAGGATCAATTTTAAATGTAATTTGAATAAAGTTGAATTTTATTATCTTGGGACAAAGCTATTGGCGGGAGGCCAATACTCATAGTAGACATTATTCCAAAAATACCAAAATTACTGATACCATATATCGGGTTATCTTAGTGGGCATGGTTTGCCCCAATTTGTGGTTTTAATTTTTATCATTGACAGTTTATATAGACTGTAAGGGATGGCACTTCAGTGATTTCAATTTCATGGTACGCCCTAGCACCCACTGTATAAAGCAGTTTTCACTTGCATTTGAACAGTCTGCATTACTTAAAATCACACTTGTGCCTAATAATCCATGCACAGAAAGTCAACTCAAGACTCACGCAATGATCCAATGCAAGCTATACGTACAATAATACTTACGATTTCTTAGTAGGAGGTTCAGTGTCTATTGAAATACCGTCCCCATTTCTTTTACCAAGAGCAAATCCAGATCCTTCGTCAAACAGGTTTCCATCAGAAGAAGGAGGAGGGTCAGGAGGCGTGGTCATTGACAAGGTACTATCCGAGAGAATGGGCAGAATACCAGCAGTCATGCTGGCGGTTTGCAGACTCTGCAGTCCTATCTCTCCAAGATATATCGTCTGTAACAGAGACGCACTGTCCGAGCGGATTGTCTGTATTTGGTGCAAGGCATTCTTTAGTCTCTCTGGGGCGGAGAGCATGGAGCTCATCACGTCAAGGTAGCTGGAGAGACGGTGGAGATTTGAGAGAATGCTCGTGGACTTATCCAGCGCCTCTCTCATAGAAGACGCGACTTGAACTTGTAACTTATCTTGAAGGCTAGCGGCATCCCCGCCTTCCCCAGCTGTGGCCATTTTGATGATAAATGATCTCTACAAAGACTTCTAAAAAATAGAAAGAAGAGTCGGTAATCATCATAGTAATGGAGATCATATTTATCCCGCCCGTACCTTTCTTGTAATGTTCCCCTAGGGTTGGTGAGAATCTCTTCTCCCTCTCTTTCCCCCCGGCCCGTGATCGTGAGAACTGATTTCAAAACAAGTCGCACGTGATCCATTCTGTACACATCCGGATACACGCCGTGGACTAGCAACAATATAATTTTAGATTTTAATTGTAATTTTTAATCATTATTTTTAATTAATTTTAATTAAAGTTTTCATGCCAAAAGAGGTTTGTAAAATTATATATGATACTCGCACATTTCCCCCCCTTTTCTCAGATGCAGAAAATGAAGCTCTCAGACGAAGTATTCCGTACTTTCAAAGTTGCTAAAGTATTTCGTGAGAACACAGACCAAATTAATTGTTTGGATTTTTCATCAAATGGAGAGAGCATGATAGCCAGTAGTAATGACGACTCTATTGTTGTGTACTGCTGTGTGGAAGGAAAGTGAGTACTTGTGCATTAAATAGAATCTTTACATTCATTAACATAGCCTATAAGTATGTAGGCATATAAATTAAGAATTATTATAAATAATGTTATTGTCATTATGTATAGTGGGAAATTTTGGAGAGAGTAAAATTTGGCGAATTGCTAAATTTTAGGCGATTGGCGAATCTGTGGTGGTGGCCATGTGCCATTGAGCATGCATATGATTGCTGAAAATGGCGGATTTTTATTTTGGCAAATTACTATCAAAACGTCAATTCGCCAAAATTTAATTCCCTCAAAAATTTCTCACTTTACAGTAATTGCATAATATTATTTGTATAGACCAAAAAGAACAGTTTATAGCAAGAAGTATGGCTGTGACTTGGTACAATATACTCACGCCCCTAATGCAATCATATACACCTCAAACAAGATTGATGGCAAGGAGCAACACAAACAAACACATAGATTAATATTTCTTTGTTAGACACAATAAGATACTTATCTCTACACGATAATAAATATCTCCGATACTTTCCTGGTCACACCAAACAGTATGTGCAGTATAGTTTATTGGTTGAGAGTACGATATTCATTCCTGTTATAAATCTAGAGTTGTTACCCTAAGAATGTCTCCAGTCAATGATATGTTTCTCTCTGGGAGTTTAGATAGGACTTTGAGACTCTGGGATCTACGCTCACCAAACTGTCAGGTATATTCACTGAAAGCTTATTGCTTTATATTTACACTGTCTGAGTTATTGATTATTTTTTGTTCTTATTGTGTAATATTTCAATAAAGTAATCTATTCATTCTACTATTTAGGGATTGATGCATCTTAACGGTCGCCCTGTGGCATCATTTGATCCAGAAGGACTTATATTTGCTGCCGGAATTGACTCAAGGCAACTGAAGTTGTATGACTTACGGTCTTTTGATAAAGTATGACTAATACTCCTCAAAGGTTTCCCACAAAGCATGCTAAGGGAGCTAAACAGCATGAGCTTAATGAACAAACAACAAGCACTACAATACACTACATGGCTTTTGGAGCAACTTTTAAAATTCATTAAAAAATCCAATTTTGATCAGAATCAGCTCAAACTTTTTACACAACATAAGAACATGTATATGTATCAGAAAAAATTATTAAAATGTAGAATTCTCTCCTTTTCAATTTTGGCAAAATTTGGCCTGCGACCATGTACTATAGTACAGTGACTTTGGCCCGATTTTTTAGTAACTTTAAAAATTCATAAAAAATCTAATTTTAATTGGAATCAGCTCAAACTTTCTACACTACATAAATACAAGTATATGTATCAGAAAAAAATTTTAAATGGAGAATTCTCTCCTTGTGATTTTTGTCAAAATGCCACTGAATTTTTAAGCAACTTAACAACTGACTGACAAGAAGCTGCATGAGCACTATGCTTTAGCGAAATCCTGTGGGAAACCCTGCCTCTAGTGAATGTCTATATATAGCAATTATTATTGGTTTATTTTGTGCATCAGGGACCATTTTCTACCTTTCACGTAAGGCAGGATTTTGCCGGCTGTGAGTGGATGGGACTGAAATTCAGTACAGACGGAAAGAAGATCCTCATATCAACCAACATCAGTCAAATTAAACTCATCGACGCATTTCACGGTGACGAGCTCTTCACCTTACAAGTAAAAAGGATTAGTATCAAGTGTTAATTCATTATTATTATTATTATTATTAATAGGGTCATTTAAATAGCACTGGTCTGTCACTAGAAGGCTCCTTTACTCCTGATTCAAGGTATGTTGTATCTGGCTCTCAGAATGGCAGGATACACGTTTGGTCTGCTGAAACCGGGGAAGAAGTGGTAATACTAGACGGAGGACATCCTCACCCGTCACACTCTGTCCAGTTTAATCCAAAGTTTATGATGATGGCCTCTGCTTGCAGAAGCATTGTAAGTATTAGTGCTTGAGTATAATATCGTATAGGGCATAATGTTCGTGGGACACAAATTTCGCAAAATCTACTACAATTCCAATTCGTGGATTTTATTTTTGTGAATTTACATGTACTTTATCCACAAAATCTTTTGCATCCTTAAACATTGTGCCATATACAGTAATTATAATGTACATGTTTTGGTAGGCATTTTGGTTGCCAGCTACTGATGAGTGGATCCCACCCTCAACACAGCATCAGAACATGGAGCATTGAGAATAGACTACTGTGTGCTTCATTTTACTTATCACTTTATACTGTTCTTATTATTTTTCAAATTTCTTGTTCACACTGTTACATATTCAATTTCAGGATAAAGTTTCTGATATAAAAATAAAAATAATAATAATCATTAAATAACTATCAAATAAAAGTGGAGAATGAAAAATTAATAATTAAAATGTGCTAAGAATGATTACTTTTTACAAACAATAAAAGTCTATCATGCACAAACAACAAACATTAGCTATTTTCAGTTCTGAGTAATGATAAATATGTATCTTTTAGTTCACTCGTACTTTCATCTGATTTACACGACTCACTGAACGCCGAATACCAGTTCCTATAGCTCAATACCTCCTTGCGAAGGTCTTCAATAACTTTATCACGGTCCGCTATATCTTGTTTAAGATGATCAATAGTTATAGCGGATAAAGAGGTACTCCTCTCGGCCAGTTGTATCCTGCAGCTCAATTCCTCATTAGCTTGTGCTAGGAGGCTTTGTTGCGAGAGACTGTCTCTGAGTTCCTTTTTAAGTTGTTGATTAGCATTCATGAGTCGTCGAATGTCCTCTTGCTTTCTTTCGAGTATCTCATTATCCCTCGCAACTTGCTGGCATTTGAATTCTAAGAGCTGCTGGTCATCCTTCCAACCTTTTGAAAGCAAACTGTTGTCTTCCTCAAGGTCCTTGATCTCATCAATCACTTGCTTCTTTTCGAATCTCAAATGATTGTTCTTCATTTCAAGACTGGCTATCCTGTGTCGAAGGATGTCAACGGTTGGTCCGCTATCGGGCTCAGTTAAGTGTGATGCAGTGCTCTGTTGTGCGTGGACAAACTCTGACTTAGAGGCAATCGTCTGGCTAGCAGTGACTGGAGCGACTTTGGGATCTTTTGTTGAAGGGCTCTCATATCCTGAGTCAGCTTTGAGCGGTTCGGATATCTCACAAGACGAGTGTAATCCATCAGAAGAGTCATTGTTGTCAAGGGATGAGGTTCTACATGAAGTCGTGAATGAGTCTCCGTTGCCATTACGAGGCGAATTAATGTGTCCTGTGACTGAGGTTGCAGGTGAATTAGCTGGATATGCGATCGGAGATGTAATTGATATATCACTATTGTCAGAGGGGTGGGGAAAATGACTGCTTGGGTAGTTACAGTATTCTTTAATAGAAGTCGAACCACCACAACCAGAGTCCTCAGTACGATCAGAGGTCTCAGATTGTATTTGAAGAGATGTAGGAGGTGACATGGACAAGTGGCTGGCTAGCTCTGTTTCCAAGTCAAAGGAGAGGGAGTCTAGTGGTGGCTGGATCATACCACTGAGTAGTGTGTCCCACGTATCCTCAGCAAACTTGAGCTTTACTTCAACGCCAGCCAAGACCTTGTTCATATCAGTGGAGTCCCTCATTTCAGAGTTAATGACGCTTTTTGAATAAAGGAACCCCTTGATGGAGCATCCCGCCGAGTCAAAGCCTTCCTTCAATCTACTGTAGTTGTTCTTAAAGACTATACACTTTATCTCGTGGCTACTCCTTCTCCTTAGAGCACTCATGTCACTCCTGTAGTCGCCTTGTAGTCTAATGTCTGAAACGGAAAAAATTGTCAGGGAAGAGGAACTCCCTCAAAATGAAGGCGGGTCAAGCAGCCTTTAATCATGCTTTAATAATGGGAAATCTATGCAATGAATACAATTAATACATCCTAGCTATGGTATGCATACTAGCTTAAATTAAGGCAATTCAAAAATGTTATAAAAAGATTAATAGTTGTATCCTTCAAGGAATAAGAATTTAAAACTGCATTTACTGAGCCTTCATTACTGCTATGTGGCCGGATCTATTGCAGGTTTATGCAGTGGTGCAGGGTTTCTATCACACTAATTTAATTCTACTACTTAAAATTTTCCATTTTTAATGTTTTTTATTTACTTGTAATAACTTAATTTTGTCAAAAATTACAATTTGTTTTGGACACCCAAGAAGTGCAATAAAAACAACCTTATAAGCATATTATTGTTAATTATATCTCAATTCCATAATAATTCGTGGCACAGATGTTGCTGTTTCCTGTACAATATCGTGGCTTAAGACTTCATCCTGTGCAATGAGCTTGGTAAACATCCCAAGAGTTCCTCCTACGCCAAAGTAATGCGTTTTAGCAGCAACTAAAATGAACCCCCTTTTATCCAAATGCCTGTATAGTACATTAAGAAGCTCGGCATGAGAAGATGAATTATATATGGTCTCTGATGTTAATATGATGTCATACTGCATTGGATTTGAATCGAAATCCAGAGGCTTGAAGTCACTCCATTTTCCAGAGAAGAAACGGGTTTTACCAAAGACAGAACTATTTTCGCTATGTTCTTTGCTTATATTTAATGTTACATTAGGTATGGTAAGATAATCAATCACTTCCGAGTTATAGTCTTGGAAATGTACCTCCCTTGCTTTGTTCAGCAAAGCATGAATCCCCAATAAGCCAGCACCACATCCTAAATCCAGTATACACTTTCCAGTAAAATCTACATTATTGGATGACAGGTACATCAAAAGGTCGTGAGTGCATTCCCATATTTTCAAGCCACCTTCGTACACGCCAGGTATAAGATCTGAGCCCTCCCTGTCAGTAATACTAATTAAATTTGAGATGCTAGTAGATTCTGTAGTCCCCGTTCCAATATCACTGCAATTAATGCAATGAATCTCTGTTCCCTTGGATACCTTAATGGAGCGAGAAATGGTGTGGGTGTTGATGAGTGATTCAGTTGTTTGATTAAAGTAATGTTCTTCCATGTTATGTTTGAGGTCTTTGCAAATAGATTGGACATTTTCTCCTTCATCTTCTTCGTTTATTGGTGCTGCTGCATCTTCTGGAAAAAAGTCAAACCTAAAAGCAGCCATCTTGGAGGTGTGGCTGCCTTTATGGAAACATTGGGTGGAGCTTGTTGAAGTGATTCTTCATAGTACTTTACTTGATTGTCTGGTCGGTGGCCGGCCCACTACATTCCAAGGCTGAAGACATCATAATAATAGCCCAAAAGAATTCAGCCTAAGTAAGTTTTCCAAGTCTTGACTATTATATCTGTGAGTCTTTGGTGATTATCTCGACCATAAAATTAATGTGAGCCAGTGGGAGACGGCTGTGATCAAGTAGTACCGAGTAGTAAGACGTAGGGTCTAGGTGGTTTATCGCCATTGTAGCCTTCCTAAATATATTTTTGGTGTTGTAATAACAGTGCGTGTTGGACCCTATTGTTTATGTCACACAATAATGTATCAGGATTTGTCTCTGTAAGTGAATCAGACGTCACATTGTGTAGATGTTGTAGTCAGCTTTTATATCCTATTGGGACCTTGAATTGTCAATATTAGCTCTGATTAGCTCTAAATATAAATGATGTATTTCAATTTTGTTTACGAAATCTAAAGTGGGAACATTGGCAGCATATTTTGTAGCATGAGAAGAATATTTTGTGACACAGCTGATTTTAGCTGTAGTTATCAATACATTGATTATGATTATTTATTATTAATAATGATTATAATTATTTCCATTATCATTATTAATTTATTTACTCTCCCCCCTCTCTCTCTCTCTCTTATTCTCTTTCTTTAGGTCTCTTCATGACTCCATGAACTTTGATTATACGTATTCCATGGGATTTGGTACACCGGATTCGTGGTTTCCTAATAAGGAGACTACAGTAGCATTGTGCACAACAATAATAGCAGCAGTCGTAGCATCATTGTATATTTACCGTTTCATAAATCAAAAGAATTACCCACCACAGACTCAGCATGTTGCCAGTAACGTAGAGCTGGTTAGATTGTGCGAGGAAATCAAGGATGAGCCACTGTCAACATTAGATCACAACATTAGGCACATTATATCAGAGGAGAGCAGGCCTGGCCCTCAATCCTTTTACTTTAAAAAAGAGTCAGATGAGAGATCTGCTCTTGTGTCTGCCAGTAGATATGGCCGTGTGGACGTTGTCAAATATTTCATGAACAATTATTCCAATTGTGTTCAAGTCGATCAAACGGCTAATCTCGACTTACCAGTTGGCTGGCATCACTCAATGAGAGAAGTACACTCTTGTACGTCTTTGTATGCTGCTTGTTTCAATGGGAGCCTTGAGACTGTGACACACTTACTGAAGGCTAACGCTGACAAAAATCAACCTGACTGTCTTGGACGGACTCCGTTACAGGTTGCCGCTCAAAGAGGTCACATGATGTTAGTCCAAGAGCTTTTGAGTAGCGGAGCTGATGTCAATGCTGAAGACTCTCTTGGCTATACGCCACTTCTCACAGCAGTCTCTGAGAGACACATCAAGATAGTCAAAGTCCTGCTAGAAAACAAGGCAGACGCACAGCATTGCTCTGTCAATGGTTTCAGTGCTTTACACATTGCTGCTGAAATGGGAGCTAAGGACATCATCGAGCTAATACTAGCGTATGAGCCAACTCTAGCTTATCAGAGAACATATGACTCCAAACATAAACTACCATGTCCTTTGTTTTTAGCAGCAGCATATGGACACATACCGACATGTCAAGTGTTAATGGAAGCCTCACAATGTACCCCTGCTCAGATGCCAGACGTTCTCTTGCTCTGGGGAGCATCACTGGTCCAGCCTCAGCATCATTATATTCGTGCCTCTGTTCAAAGATACTGGCTTGAAGCTTTAGAGCTAAAAGAACAGCATCCTTTAGTGACTACCACTGTTGATCGTCATGAAGCTTATGAGTATCATACTGAAATGTCAAGTGTAGAAGAAGTGATTGGTTACTTCTCATCTCAACTACCGTCCATGTCATCGCCTAGCAGTGCATCTACTCCTACCAAGGCAAATGGAGGGCTCAATTTTGCTGAGCTCGGTTCCAACATGACACTCTGTTTGCCAGCAGATTCATATACTAAAGTATGCTATCAGAGCCTCCTGATAATGGAGAGGTGTTTGGGGTATGGACATCCTCTGGTTATTCGACGGTTGCTGGATATGTCACGGTTCATGCTCTCAAAACGAAGGACTGATCAATGCGAGCGCTTGCTATGCAGGGCAATTGAGATGAGCAGAGAGAGAGTTTCATCGCATCCTCACAATAGCTACTGTCAATCCTCCGAGTTAGAGTATGAGGTAAAAAGCACATTAAAGAACATATGTGACCTCCTACATCTCATGTACCAGTCAGCCTACTACGAGGTCAGATTCTCAGTTTTTCTCAGATACACTCTCACAGCTCTTTACTCATTCACACGCGAAGGGCGCTACGACTGTACACAATACCCAGCAAAGATTAACATGCACCTCATCCTCCTCCTCCTCTCGGTTCTAGCTGCATGGGTTTATCAAAAGAATCACCAACTACAGGTCGACTATGATGATACCAGCGATGACGAGTATGAGCAATGCGACAGTCTCGCTTGTCAGCTCGTCAAGTCTCATCTGTTCATCTGTAATGGCACAACATTGCTTCACTTAGCTCTCAGCAAGCTTGGCAGTAGAGACTCGCTTGTTCGCGACTACATTTATGTGAAGGATTTGTCCCATCTCGTGTCCTCGCTGTTGCTCTGGGGCTGCAGTGACTTTATTAATCTACCCAATTTAGCAGGAGAGAGGCCACTACATGCAGCAGCAGTCAGAGCTCGTAGCGACCAAGAGGCATACCAGTTGATAGTCCCACTCCTTCAATATGGAGCACACATAGACAGCGTTAATGCAGGAGGAAAAACAGCATTTGAATTGGCTCGGGTGAAACCATTGAAACTTGACACCCCCATAACTCTTCGGTGCATTTGTTATAGAAGGATCATTGAAGAGAACTTTGACTATGAGCAGTTACCCACTGTCAAGTATTTCACCGAAAAGGACAAAAAATGTCTGAGGCTTCACGATCCACACAACGCCAAACAGGATTTTCAGATTGAGTTCCAGCAGAGATTAGAATAATTTTTTTGTAGATATTAATTATAATAGCCTATAATTTTTACTAATTATTATTATTATTATTATTTGTATTTTTATAGCCATGTAGATTTCATTTGTTATGCAATTTCAAATTTATATAATGAATCAATGAAATGTTTATGAATACATGAGGTCACATCACTTATAATGTCTAAACAAACAATAACAGACAAATGCAAGTGAGGAGCCAAATAATGTCCACTTAATAGCTCTAGAGGCAATACGAGAACAAGGATGGCTTCCTGGCATGTTTTTGCCAAGACCCTACAGTAAAAATAAGCAAAAGAAATAAATAATGATACTTAAACTGCATTACATCATACACTAAACTAGTACATGATAGCATACTAACTTTATAAACTGTCTTTTCAATCTTTTTTACTTCATTACTTAAGTCTTTAGATGCAGATACTAGTGCTTGTACTTGGGCAGTGACCTGATCCCTTTCACATGTTTCTGTTATCATGGACAGTGGAGAAGGAGGATTGGTGGAAGTGTGCTGTAAAATGAATCTTGTTGAAGCCGAGAGGTAGTCAATGTGAGATGAGAGTTGGGTGAGTATTGACGAGTATTCGTGTACACTAGAGACAAAATCATTCAATAATAACTAAGTAAAGCAATGCATGTAAATTGACAAAAGATTGTGCAGTACAACTTTCTATTGTACATGTACATCACATCATTCACATGTAGGACATAATGTAGGGAGCCTTTTTTCCGAGGGCTATAAATTTCGCAGATTTAATTTTTGTGAATTTATGCCATCTGCAGTTTTGTACCATATTAATTTGATTTTTGTGGAAGTAATTTTTGCAAATTAAAAAAAATGCAAAATCCGTGTAATTTACAGCCCTTGAAAAAATGTGACATACGGTAAGAACATCAATATGCATAATAAAATAAAATCTAGGGTGATTTCAGAGCCTTTTTTGGAAAAAAAATCATGGGCTATATATACAGTACAGGGATTTCTTTAGAAATTGACTCATCTTAAAAAATTGTCATAACTTTAAAAATATTTGTTGAAATCAGCTCAAACTTTCTACATAGCATAAGGACATCAGTATGTATTAGGAAATGTAAGAAACATTTGGGGTGAAATCCGGAGCCATTTATTGAAAAAACCATGGGCTATAGCCTTTGGTCTTTTTCAAAAAATGGTCTGTTTTTTTAAAATGGCTATAGCTTGAAAAATAGTTGTAGGAATCGGCTCAAACTTTCAGCATAGCATAAATACACCAGTATGTATCAGAAAATGTAATAAAAATTTGGGATGATTTCAAATCCATTTTTTTAAACCATGGGCTTGCAATTACAAACATCTGCTGACACCAAACCTGCACAATACTTCAATGTACCCCATAAACCACTAATATAATTCATTAATGTGAATATTATTGTGTAAGGTGGGGCACATATCTATTGTCAAGATGAAGTTCCTTTCTCAATTACTTTTACTTGTCTTAGTTGTGATAGCAACTGCCACTAAAGCTCCAGTACCTCCTAATATAGTGTTTGTCCTTGTTGATGATTGGGGGTTTGCTGATGTCAGCTTTCGTAATCCAGCCATTAAGTCTCCTAACTTCCAGAAACTAGCAGAAACTGGTCTTATCTTGGACAGACACTATGTGTATCGCTATTGCTCTCCTACAAGAGTGTCTTTCCTAACAGGACGATGGCCCCATCATGCTCACCAATATAACATTAAGCCTAACTTTCAAATTGGTACCAATATCAACATGACAATGTTGCCTGCTAAGCTAAAGACTGTTGGATATAAAACACACATGGTTGGTAAATGGCACCAAGGATTCTTTCAACCAAAGTTCCTGCCCATTAATAGAGGCTTTGATACTTCATCTGGGTTTCTTAGTGGAGCAGAGGATCACTTTACTCAGTATAGAGATTGTGCCATTGACTATTGGAGGAATGATACATATGATACTCGTAATGGAACTTATGATGCTTACACTTATAAAGATGATCTAACAAAGATATTTGATGCTCATGAGACTCAAAAACCAATGTTCCTATATCTACCATTACATAATGTTCATGCACCACTTCAAGCACCCAAGGAATGGCTGGATATTTACGCAGCTAATTCCACTTGTGACGAGCGCCA